CCAGCAAGCGTTGAAACAAGCAGCAAGTGTTTGGACCACAAAAATCAGAGAAAAAACTTAGCGATGTTCATAGTTAAGCTGGTTTTACTTTGGTGTGACTTTTGACAATTGAGATGGTCATATTGTAGACATTTTGGTTTTAGTCTCACTTTAAAAAGGATATGTTGGAACAATATGTAGCATGAAGACAAACAAAAAATTAGGGTGTTAAGCGAGATGGGCCTTTATCAAATACTTCACTGAGCCCGTATCTCAAGGGAGATAGAACCAAAAAAACGGCACGTCGTTTATGTTTTAACCGAGGAATGCACGTCGTCTTGTTTCAACAACCGAAACTTCATGAAATTCCAAGAAAAATCATCAAAAGTGTGTAAAGACGATCTAGACAAGACACGAAGGTTTTAGAAAAAGAGCATTTTCTATTCAAGAAACTCGAAGAATGTTCTCTCTCTCTCCATCTACTTCCTTATATAAATGGGCCTCTTCTAAGCATCTCAATAATCAGAACAAAGGACAAACAAGAAAATCAAGAACCATAACAAAGCAAAACTTAGTCACTTGAAAAACGCAAAAATGTCTCTTATTCCAAGCATTTTTGGAGGACGAAGATCAAACGTTTTTGATCCTTTCTCGCAAGACATATGGGATCCATTTGAAGGGTTCTTCACGCCTTCTTCTGCGTTAGCAAACGTTCCGACCTCTCGTGACGTGGCAGCGTTTACAAACGCAAAGGTAGACTGGAAGGAGACGCCGGAGGCACACGTGTTCAAAGCTGATTTGCCAGGGCTGAAGAAGGAAGAAGTGAAGGTTGAGGTTGAAGACAAGAACATACTTCAGATCAGTGGAGAGAGGAGCAAGGAGAACGAAGAGAAGAANGACANGTGGCACCGTNTGGAGAGGGCAAGTGGGAAGTTCATGAGGAGGTTTAGGTTGCCGGAGAATGCGAAGGTGGAAGAAGTGAAGGCAACTATGGAGAATGGTGTGCTTACGGTCACGGTTCCGAAAACGCCGGAGAAGAAGCCTGAAGTCAAGGCGATTGATATCTCCGGCTAAGTCATTTTTTGTTGAAGATTTGAAAGATTTGGTCTCTCAAATAAATAAGTAAAAGGTGTGTTGTATTGTCTTTCGGTTTGTTTGTATTTTGAAAACGTCACTTTTTCTCAAATAAATTATGAATGAATAAACGAGTGTTCTTTATTCAACCACGAATGTAGATCGTTTCTGCTAGTTCATTTTCATATATCTCAACTTCACTGCACTAGAAAGTGCTCAAATCATAACAATTGGAATTAAGTGGAAAATATTTCTTATCTACAAATTTCATAAATTATTGCGCGCGCAAGTTAAGAAAGTAGCAGTTCGTTAAATATTCTATAAAAAATTACTCAACTCCCATGAAACTATGCTTATATTACTAGAATACAATACTTCTTTCAAAAATTACTCAAATCTTTTTACATCCCTAGTAAATTATGATAAATCCTTTGATTAGTTTTTCTTAATTAAGATTATTTTAATTAAGAAATGATTAAAATTATTAACAAATCCATGTCACCAATACCGTGATCAAAAGAAAAAGAATTCCAAAGCAGAGACGTTTAAGTTTCCGGTGTTAAAGAAAAAAAAGAAAAAAAACCACAAATTTTCTGAAACTGTCTTTTCCGCAAGTCTTCCCCGAAATCGACATTGTTTCTTTCGAAATCGTTTTCTCCGCAAGAGTCTTCCCCGAAAATCGTCTTTCCCGCAGTCTGTAAAACTGTCTTCCCCGAAAATCATCTTCGTCGATATCGTCTTCCCCCGAAATCGTCTTCTCCGTAGTCGCCTTTAATCGTCGTCGCCAAAATCGTCTCCCCTGAAATCGTCTTCTCCGCAGTCGCCTGTAATCGTCTTCTCCGGTATGTTGTT